GGACACAAAGAGAATTTGATGTCAATATTTTCCTTAATAAGTAGTAAATGTACTTTTTTAAATCTCATGTTGGAAAAGTAAAGCACAAACCAGGAGAACTGGGATATGCAAAAAATTCACAAAAATAATTATTTAATGAAATTAATTGGTAATAACTGCTTGTCATTATTTCTGAGTGGTGAGCCAGGGCCAGGTTAAGGTAATGCTCCTTTTGCTATTGTCACTTCTAAGTTTGCATATACAATTGAGGGAAACCAGGGTCTTCTATGAAATGACATGCAAAAATGAGTAAGGACCAGAAAGTCACAGTAAAAATACATAAACTATTTTTTAATTGCGTTTAACATTGCTACATCCTCTATTCAGTAAAACAAAATAAAAATCACTTGCAAATGCAAAGGCAAGCCATAGGATTCCTTTCAAAGGTCAGAGGATGGAGCAGTGTTGTATACTGTACTGGTTAAGAGTAGTGGCTCTGGGCCAGGCACGGTGGCTTATGCCTGTAATCCCAGCATTTTGGGAGGCCAAGGCAGGTGGATCACGAGGTCAGGAGTTCAAGACCAGCCTGGCTAAGATGGTGAAACCCCATCTCTACTAAAAATACAAAAATTAGTCAGGCATGGTTGCGGACACCTGTAATCCCACTACTTGGAAGGCTGAGGCAGGAAAATCGCTCAAACCCAGGAGGCAGAGGGTTGCAGTGAGCCGAGAACACACCACTGCACTCCAGCCTGGGTGACAGAGCAAGACTCTGTCCCAAGAAAGAGAGTAGTGGCTCTGAAGTCAGACTGGCTGGTATCTTGGCTTCCCCAACTAACGAGGATAATAAGCTACAGACCTCATAGAATGGTTGTGAGGAGTAATTGGATTAGTAGGTGTGAAGTTCTTTGGACTGTGCCTAGCACATAGTAAGCACTCAATAGGTCTTGCAATTTTTTTTTTTTTTTTTTTTTTGAGACAGAGTCTCACTCTGTCAGCAGGCACTAGGCTGGAGTGCAGTGACGCGACCTCGGCTCACTGCAGCCTCCGCCTCCCAGGTTCAAGCAATTCTCCTGCCTCAGCCTCCCAAGTAGCTGGGACTACAGGTGCTCGCCACCATGCCCAGCTAATTTTTTTGTATTTTTAGTAGAGACAGGGCTTCACCATGTTGGCCAGGGTGGTCTAAATCTTGCTATTAAGATGCATCCTGTTGAGCCAAACATGATGAAGATCATTACTGCCACATGGTCTTACCCTCTTCATCCCAGTGAGCCATTTTGTCTTAGGTTAGATGAGTTTAACACAAATTCATTTTATTTATTGTTCAGATACTACAGGCGATTGCTCATGAAAACCCTTTGTGGGAGGTCTTTGAGAGTGGAGAAACCTGAGGCTCCGGGACTTGAAAATTGTTTGCCCAATATTGCAGAGCTCACGACTGGGGAGATCTGACTCTATCATCTTCCTCCTTGCTCCCTCCGTTTTCTCCCTTTCTTCTCCTTTCTCAGCGTCACCGAGGTGCACGCAATTTGCCTTTGCCCCTGCTGTTCCTGGGGTGTCCCCTGCTCCCCGATGCTCATCTAAACCCAAATGTGACCTGACTCCAAGTGCAATAGGAAAGGAGAGAGAGGAGCAACCAGCACAGGCTGAAATCATGAAGAAACAAAAGGAGGTGTACGCTGGACCTTGGAGGATGTGTGGGATGTAGGATTTAGCTAAACGCTAAGTGGAGAAATTGGGCCTGGACTTGAAGAGGGATGGGAAGAGTTGATGGATGCCAGCAGTGACCAAAAATAGGCCATTGATCTGTAGAAGGTGGGATGTTAACTTGGCTACAGAAGCCCAGGTCTTATTATGGAAAAACAAATGATGTGCCTGCCCTCAAGGAATTATCTAACGGGGGATTTAGAAACCAAAAAAAATTAATAATTTCTCTTTAATAATTCCTCATGCCCAGGCAAGATACCGGGCACAGCATAGTTTCCAAATTCACCAGACTGACTGGCTGCCATTGTTTTTAACTCAGTTGAGAGACTCCAAACCTTTCCATCTGCTGGCTCCTTCTTTGTACACTAAGGCCACATTTTCCATTTGCCTTCAAACAGTTTAACATTTTTGCTGCATTACTGAGGCCATTTTAATTTATCACTTTGTTTTAAAGCACTGCACCATCCAAAAATAGCACAAAATTACTCATTCTATTCAAGGGTAGATGGTACTGCAGCCTTACATGAGACATGTAATCTTTCACTGATTGGGCCAGTGTGAATACAGGCCTGGTTTTCTGAGTTCTAACAGTCACGGATGGAAGCTGCTTGTTTTTTGAAGCAACTTTTAGCTTTTTTGCCACCAGAGCCACTGAAGAATGTCTGACCAGCCACAGAGAGAAGCTGTGCAGCTGGGTTCTGAATTCCTTCCTTGTCTAGAGATCCAGGCGGGCTGAAATATTTTAGAAAGAGTTGACTTACCAAACTTTCTTCTGGTTTTCCGCAATGTCATTTTGTGTTCCTAGTTTTAAAATGTTTAGTTTTACATTGGATTTTTGTGTTTTGAGCCTACAAAGAACTGGAATTAAGATTTCACTGGAGCCTGGCAGAATGATTTCAAGGGAGAATTCCTTGAGAAATCGAAATCAGGACTGGTTTTTCCAAAAGTTTCGTTGGGATTATTTGTGATGGCTTATTTTTATAATGAGTTCAGCTCCCCCTTCTCCTTGCCTTCTGCCTCCCTTTTGTATGCATAAGACAGCCTCATTTTTGTGCCTGTCTTAAAAATCACCGTAATGGAATATATATGAGGATTAGGCATAGAAATGTCAGGCCTTATTAAATTTCAGTAGTCAAACTTGCCGTTGTGTTTCCCATTACCTCTCCAGTCTTTGCAACTTTCCAGAGAGAAAGGAAGAATTCTCCATGTCCCATAGGAAATGTACCCTCCCCCAGTTTTAGCAGAACCTTGCCTGTTGTCAGTCATTACTGGAAGACTATAATGTTTTCCACTTTCACTGACTTTTTAAAAATTATATTACAGAAAAGACCTTTGGGTGATTCATGCAATCAAATTCTGTTAGGGAGGAGAAAGTCTAGCTGTCAGTGGTATTATTAAATGCCCGGTGTAAAACCACAGAATCTGGGCATTCATAGCTCCTCTCCCCAAGGAGCTCAGCGGGCTTTGGATGCATTACTTTCCTTTATTCATCCTCACAAGGGAACTCGAAAAGGAAGTGGGGGGGGGGTCAGGCTTCTTTAAACAATCTTCCTAGCATCTGTAGCTGCTATAGTGTGTGTAGGACAGTAGTTCCTCCCCGACCCCCGTAATCCACAGTTTTGCTTTCTGTGATTTCAGTTACCTGCAGACAGCATTGTACAGTATTTTGAGAGAGAGAGACCACATACATATACATTTTATTAGAGTGTATTGTTATGATGGTTCATTTTATTTTTAGTTATTGCTGCCAATCTCTTTCTGTGCCTAATGTGTGAATTAAACTTTATCATAGGTATGTGTAGAAAAAAATCTATAGTCTGTATAAAGTTCTGTACTATCTGCAGTTTCAGGCACCCACTGGGGGTCTTAGAACATACCTCTGCAGATAATGGGGGCTACTGTTTACAGATTGTTTTTCACTCTAGGTTCCTCCAACTAAGTAGAAATGTGGAGACTCGACAAGGTTTAGAAAAAACCTGAAATAGCTATTAAAGGTAGAGCCACCAGATGAGCGCAGCTGTCAGAGTTTGAAGGCATCCCTGCTTTTGGAGCTGGCAAAGACCTAAGGAATCCACTGTGAGGAGAGAAGGAGGGGGCAGGGACACATGCAGGTGATTTAGGAGCCTGAGGATGCACCTCGCCCCGAGGCAAGCTCTCCCACCCTCTGCCGCCAAGGAGAGTGCTGGCACATCTCTCTGGCAGTCTTCCACTTTAAAGAGCTAATCTGCTGGTTGTCACTCACACATCTACCTGTAGGCTGCCAGGAAGAATCTGGGTCAGTGGGAGTTTTTAGCTGTAGAAGCAGCCAGACCAGGTCACAAACTATGGTGAGTACACATCTCACCTGGTGGTCAGAATGACCATGAGCACCCTTAAGAGAAAAGGCTGTCATACCAAACTTATTACTAAGCAAAACGTAAACCCAGCCCCTTTGACATCTGTAGTCCCTCTGGAAAATTGGTCACCACGCTCATGTGTGCATGCACACACACACATACACACACACACACACACACACACACGCACACACACACCCCTATTGCCAAGCTCTTATTAGCCCCCAATTCACTTTGCTCACCTACTTTGCAGAAAAGATTTAATAAATCCTTTAAGGCTATGTCGCCTCTCCCAGGGCCATTTGCATTTATAAAAGAACCAATAAATAAAACCATTATTTTACCTAAGAAATCGGCAAGCCAGGTGGAGCAGGCATTTAAGCCATAGTAGATCCCTCATCTAGACATAGATTACACCAGAGTGTATGGAAAAATTCTGTACCTATTCAACATGCAGAGCAGAGGAACAGCATGGAGACCGGCATGGAGGAGAACTGAATTCTCAGAGGGCTGCCACCAACTCAGCAGTGAGGGGCTCAGACCCTTCACCTCTCTGGGTGTCCATGTGCTTCTCTGTAGAATGAAGGGTGGGAAGAAGAACCAGTCCCCACCACTCCTTCCACCACCTCCTCTCCTCATCTCTCTTCCTTTTCTCTCACTGTTGGGGCGGCTGTGTGGATATCAGAGTTCAGCTGCACAAGCCAGAGTGGGAAGTTTTGCCTGATTGCCAGTTTTCTTCAGAATTTCTCTACAGGTTGAGTTAGGGAGCAGCAAGCTGGTGGCAGCAGGGAACAATTGTGTGTTGTGCTTTCCATAACATGAGCTCCACCTCTTCCAAGCCACTCTTTTCTCCAGTACTGACGAGCTGATCTCCAACATACCTGCTGGTCTAGTTTCAGGATTAGCCCTGTGGTCTGACCCACTGGCTACTCCAGATGGATCTCTCTCCAACCCCTTCTGTGCATTGGGCCTTCTCTCTGGGCAGAAATACACCCGGAAAAGGACATAACTAAACCAGTTTTATCAGAGCAGGCTGCCTGAGAGAGATCAAGCAGGGCACAGGTAAAAATGTTAATAAAAAATTAAAAATAGAACCTGCAGAACAGGTATTGCTCTTTTTCAGTGAGCAGAAGCCTGGTGCCAATATCACAGTGATCCCTACCAATCTGATGAGTGTGGGGAAGGCCACAGAAGAAACCATGCTGGTGTGATGTGTGTTATTTTAATGTTTCTGAAATCCTGTTCTTAGTTTGCACACCTTGTCTGAGGCTCCAATGTTATCCAGATGATTCACCATCTAATGCTGTTGGCTTCAACATGGATTTAATGGTAATTAAACCAAGTGCATGCTATGTGAAGATTTATTCACTTGGAGGTCCTTCAGTGCAGGCCACCAGGTTTGCCCCTGGGCTCCTGCCACAGCTGATCAGGTGCTAGGTGCTAAGGATATGCAGTGAGTTCCTTCCCTCTGCTCAGGGGCAGGTGTATGGATGGGTAACTTTAATATGATGTCGGATACAGAGAGGGCCAAAGCAGCATGAAGGAAGGCTCTTGACCTTCCAGGTGGTGAGCTGGGGACCTCAGGGAGATAGAGTGAGATGCAATTTGCAGGATGAAAGGAGTTACCCAGGTGAGTGGGAGGAAGAGAATGGCATTCCCAGCAGAGGGAGCTCTCTTTTTGTATATTGTGGACAGGAAGGAAGTGGGAGATGGGAGGTGGGAAGAAGGTGGTCAGAAGGAAGAAAAGGGATTGCATTCTCTCCCTTTCCTATTCCCATCTGCACTCTTTTTCCTGCAGAAATGGAGAGAGAAGAAACATATCTAGGGTTGGTTTTTATCAGCTCAAAGGAGGTAGAATAAATTTGGAGTACTGTTTCTAACAGCAACAAAACAAACACATCAGAAAACCCAACGTGCACACAACCTGAATATTCATAGGAAAATGCTTAAACAAATGTACATTCATATATATTATGGAATAATATGTAGTAATTAAAAAAAAGGTAGCTCTATATGTACAGAGAGATCCCCAAGAAATATTAGCAAATAAAAAGCAAGTAATAGGAAAACATATATAGTGTATATGTTCCCATTTATGTAAAGAAATATGTGCATCTTACTTGCATTCATGCATTTTTGTGTATTTATATACATACACATATATAAACACATAGGAAAAGGGTCTGGAAAGATTCTTCTGTGGAGGGAAGTGGGATTGGAGGATGGCAAAGGACTTTCACTTTCTGCTCAATTCACTTCTATATTGTTTATATTTTTACCTGAGCTTATATTACTGAGGTAATGTTTTTTAGTAGGGGAGAAAGCAATTGGATGGATGTGAAGCTCTTCAAAGGAGACCTACAAAGTCATCTTTGTTTTGTTCTTTCTTCTCATGTTTCTGCATTCTGGGCATTCTCCTAAACTGGGGAGAAACCAAAATGCCCAGAAGTTCAATTCTGCAACTGTCATCATCCAAAATGCCAAATGAGGGAAGCAAAGTGTGCTGGATTCTATATGGTTCAGAAGGGGTGGTTAATTTGATTGACTCTCGGGAGCTCTTTTTCTAGTGCTAAGTAATGCTAGGGAGCCCATATGTGATCATCTCTGAATAAATAAAGAAGTGAAATTGCAATTGAAATAAATAATGACTCAACTTTAATGCTCTTATAGAGAATATAAGCTAAATTACCATGTGAATTTAAATTGTGTCAGAGGCACATTACCCCAGTGGCAATATTTTCTAAAATGTCTTTTCATTTTTTTTTTTTTTTTTT